CCAGCAGCCATATAATGGCTAGTATAGTAGAGGCAGGAAGACATTACCGACAAAGACCAGGGGAGACTAAAACGGTAATTTATGGCTTTGAGGCCGTCAGCAGATATTGTTACTGTACCCGGTCGCAACCGACAGGACGAAAGGCTCGTGATTCGATGGTGAAAGCGTCGAGCTTCTAACCACTAAGTCGCGGGTTCGAGCTCCAAGTGCTGCAATATCTGGGGGTGCGTATGGCTGGCTGGTACTGGCTAATAAACCAGAACTGGCCATTCCAGTCTCCATGGTCTCATGCCTTCCAGCCCCCCACGGCGTTGTCTTAGCGGATGTCTTCAGATGACAGGGAGATGGGGCGCTAGGACCTGGTGTTCAGCATCGGAATATGAGGGAAACTAGTGTTACCAGGGAACGATATGTGTACTTAGTCCGACTCAACGGATTCTTAGGACATTAAGCATTTCATAGCCTCATACGTTGATGGCGTTGGATGAACGGTACTGGCTTTGGAAGATAATAATAGGATATTTTTCAGATGCCTTACCGTGAACGTAATTCAGCATAGTATTTTAGATTAAAAAATCTAAACTCTCCTTAAGTTTTGGCAGAAGATACTTACAGGAGTGTAATCGAAATACAGCCAGCTGTACGCGTACCAGGGGTGGTTATCAAGATGATGGATTGATTCATCGTTTTTTATGCCTAAAAGTAAGACACTAATAAAAAGTATATTTTACAACTGCTCTACCCATGCATTGGCTGGAATTGTTATCCTCACCACAGATCCCTGAAGGGGATGTAGGCCGCGGACTCTCGGATGACATTTAGATTAAAGACCTTTAAGGAATGTTGTCACGATTTAAGCAACAAGCATCCCCTTCTCTCGACGCCACCCAGGCCCTTTGTGCTGCGGAGATTTAATTATTTTCGAAGCAGCTGGTGAGCTCTCTCGAAATTTACAGATCCAATAAATTCTGCTGTTTACGCAATCTTCAAAATTTAATTCTTTACTTTGCGGACCGTAAGATAGCATAATGCTGACTTTTATTGAGAACACTGTGTAGGGTTTTGCTACAGTAACTATCAGACCGCGCCATCCTAAAAGCGTACCTTCTCCGTCAACGAAATCAACCCGCTTCAATATAAGAAAAGGCATGCGTAGAAATCAGCACGGCTGTTTTTGAAATCGCAACCGACAGTAGAATCAAAAAGGATATTAAGCATAACAGTTTCAGAATGAAGATGATGATCCAATCAGAGCGGATGATTTTTGGGGGTGAAATTTGACGGTACAATCAGCAAAACATGACAATCAGCGACTTTAGGCATATAAAATTTGGCATAAACAATTGTAAAAAAGATTTGATAGTCAAATTGGGAATCAGTAATCAAATCAGTCAATCAATCAACCAACGGAAACTTTATTTCTTTGTTGACTTTTTAGCCTTTTTGGTATCCTTTCTTCGCTTCTTCTTCAGTTTAATGTCGTGCATAACAATCATCGTTCGCCACCAGTTTTGAATCTGCAAAAAACACTTTTAGGAGTGTAGGAGTGTGTCAATGCATATATATATATATATATATATATATATATATATATATATAAACGACGATGATGATAAGGCAGGAGCAACCTATTAATACAGTAAATTTGCCACTGCTACTTCTACTATCCCTGATACTACTACTACTACTACTACTACTACTACTA